TAATAGATGTTTAAAAAACACGATCACCTTTCGTTAATAATTACGTTTATACTATGATATTGAACAAGATAACGTTAGTGAACTGCATATGAAGCTACTTTCTACTTTATAATACTATACATGAGACCTAGTCTGTCTGCGTTTTACACATCATCGTTTCACAAAATATACGGATAGATATAGTTAGCTGAATGGGTGCTTACGTGTTTATTAGAATGCAAGCGAGATGGGCATCTCTCTGTAGATTTAGCTTGTCACGAAGGTCTCTCCATTTTTTTTTTTTTTTTAATCCAACCCCAATGTTTACTTGCGTCATGCTTCTTCTTCTGTCCCAAACCCTTCTCGGGTCATATTTTTCACCCGTACGCTTGCCCTTTACTGAGCTGAGCTGTACTGAGCTGACTCCAGCAGCAGAACGTGCAGGCAAAGTGTAATCGTGGTCCATAACTATAAAATACAGACTAATATAAATATTCAACGCATTCTCACCCCAAGGCGTCACATTTTGACCATGCTTCAATATTCGACGCTTTAGGCGCCCTTTAGCGTCAGTTACATGACGCGATCCTACGAAGAAGCGTCAGTTAGATGACGCGGGTAGGTTTAGGTCTGGGGTAGGGGTAGGGTTACACACGATCGTAGGGCGTCATCTAACTTATGCCAAAGGGTGCCTAAAGCGTCAGATATTGAAACTTGGTCAAAATGCTTCCCAAGGCGTCAGTTATGTGACGCCTTGGGATGAGAATTGGCTGAAATATTACATATAATAGTCTCGGTCAAGTTTGGTGCAGTTGCAAAATGATAGTAGCTACTACTTTTTTTTTTCTTTGTCGTTTTATTTGCTTTTATTGGCGGTAGTCTGGTGTTCCCCTTTGTGTTTGGCGGTTTCGCCGGGTTCCGCAGGAAGTTAGAGAAAATAGAGGTGTCAAAGGTTATATGACGCCATAGACGGGCGACGAAATGGAAATAAAGAAACATCCCGTGTCTTCGAATTAAAAAGTTGGTGGAAACTGTTGAAAGTTGGTGGAAACTGTTGGGATAATGTATGTACACATCTAATAGAACTATATAACATAGATACAGTTATTTTTGCTATTTTAAAACAAAAATATACATATTGTGCCTTTTAAAGTGGTACATGTGACATCAGTGGGTTAGTTAGAATGTTTTGAAGCATCGAAAATACATTTTGGTCCAAAAATAACAAAAACTTGGAACGACATGTCATTAATGGCACAATTTTCATTTTTGGCTGAACTAACCCATGAATATTACCCATAAATCCTTTTGAAATTAGTTTTAGGATACATTGACATAGAGCTGCAAATAACCATCTTTGCAACCGCATAGAAACTCCTAGCGATCGATCATATAGCTACTCCCTTGAAACCTCCCAGGACACGTATAGCAACGATGCTCTCTACATAACAGCATCTTAAAGGAGTAGTTCACTTAAAAAAACAAAAACTTTTGCTGATAATTTACTCACCCCAATGTCATCCAAGATGTCAATGTCTTTCTTTCTTCAGTCGAAAAGAAATTACGGTTTTTGATGAAAACATTCCAGGATTTTTCTCCATATAATGGACTTTACTGGGAACCAAACGGTTCAAGATCCAAAAGACAGTTTCAGTGCAAACTGTTCAAAGCGCTTTAAACGATTCCAAACGATAAATAAGGGTCTTATCAAGCGAAACGATCACTCATTTAATAAATAAATGAAAAATTGTAAGTTTTATAAGCTCAAATGCTCGCCTTGCTCTGTTCTGTGATGAGCGTTCTTGACTCTCCTGTTCGAACTCGTTCATCAAAATGAACAAATCTTTTTCCGAGTCCTTTGGTTCATTCAACGAACGAATTGACTCGGAAAAAGATCCTTATTCATCCTTAAGACCCTTATTCATCGTCTGGAATCGTTTAAAGCCCTTTGAACAGTTTGCAGTTTGTACTGAAACTGTCTTTTGGACCTTGAAGCGTTTGGTTACCAGTAAAGTGCATTATATGGAGAAAAATCCTGGAATGTTTTCATCAAAAACCTTAATTTCTTTTCGACTGAAGGAAGAAAGACATGGACATCTTGGATGACATGGGGGTGAGTAAATTATCAGCAAATGTTTTTTTAAAAGTGAACTACTCCTTTAATGGTGAGCTGTGCACAGGCAAACGCCATGAACATTTTCTGCTGAAACCACACTGACAGGAGGTATTGGTGGGCCTATGGCAGCAGAAAGGAAGTACTTTATTAGCCTAGTCCGACATGACACACACCTGTGCCTTTTTGCCCTGGAGCCCAATGCTCGGATGTTGCAGATGACTTTCAAAGAATCCTGACAATGTTGATGTATATATTGTGTGCCACATATACTCTCTCTAGAGAGATGAGCGGATGTATTTCGTCTGACACACGCATGCATGATGTTCTGTCTGCCAGATGGCTTTGCATTAATAAACTTTTCTTCCTCTTCGCGCGTCTACAGGCTGGCCTTCATGTCAACAACTGCTTTTCTAGGAAAATGTCATTCTTTAGAGCAAAATTTTCAATCCAAATGCTCTATTCAAGCATTTCTGTGTGCATAAAAATCAAGAATTTGGCCAAATATTTTCTCGTCTAATATTCCCCTCGTATATGTTGTTATTGCTGAATAATTTCCTCTATGGACATTTTTTATGGAATTTTTATTTCCATAATGAACACGAGATATAGGACTTCTCTATCTTCCATGGTTTCTGCTGTCTGAACCAGACTCTCATTCTGGATCTGATGTTTCCCTCAGACTTTATAATGAGTAATACATCAGACGCTGCTGTTAGCCATGTGAGTTCTGAATTTGAAATGACATTCTCGGGAAGAGATCCACAGGGACTTTTACAGGAAGAGCACTATGAAAGAGGACATAGACGTGAATGTGTGTGTGTGTGTAAGTTAACAGCAACATTTGTCACCCTCAGCCGCCTGTTTATGTACTGACAGCATTAGTGGCATGGAAAACCCCTCTGTGAGTGTGTGTGTGTGTGTGTGAGTGTGTGTTCTTTCAGCTCTGCTGGATGGCAGCCATGATGTCTTCATTTATCTGCGCTGTTAACACAGTCCGCAATAACAACCCCAGGACACACACTGCCTTCTGTGTTTGTGTGTGTGTGTGTGATCACTGTATGTTCCACACACACACGCAGTGAACTAAGAGACATATGAGTGTGTTTATGAGAGATTGTGTCCTAATCAAAGGGGTGTTTTCTTCATCCATAATTTTTCCCGTCATAAAAGTGTGTCGGTGTGTCTGAGAGTGATTACGGGCTTCTGATTGGCTCCGATGAGTAGATTGCAGACTCCTCTGGCGTCTCTCATTGGTCAACTGGGGTCGCCATGGTATCTCTTGGGACCTCATTACAGTTCCAGCATGATCTCAGTGTCTTTGGAACATGATGATGTCATAATAAGGAACCTAAATAATATCAGTCTGAGGACCTTTAATGTTATCAGTGTCTTAATGATATCAGGCGTCTAGGAGGGCGGAGGGCAGTTTTCGTTGCTCTGTGACTTTTTCTGCCAGTGTTGTTGTTTTTATTTGCGGTGGATGTTTGTTAACATCCTGGCTCCAGATTAGACTGCTTCAGTCTGCTCGTGGGGCCGCCATGTCCAGCCACAAGTGATTAGACATGGAGACAGGCATCTCATTTCCATCTCAATTCTTTCTCGCTCTTTTCCGACCAACCTGAGACAATGTCTGAATGATTAGAAATCGGTTTAAAATCAATTACTTACCTTTTTTTTTTTTTCACAATCTTAAAGTCAACATGACGTCCAAATCGACTGTTCCTGTTCTTGGGATGCTTGATTTTTTTTTTTTTTTTTTTGCGCAATTTGTCATTCTAAATAAGCTAAATTTATTGAAACAACTTTCGTCATTGGCTGATATCAAGTCGCTCTTATTTCTTTTAACCCTTTCCCTCCAATGTTAAATGTAATGGCCACTTTTTCTTATCTACTAGAATTCCCAATGTATAAAAAGTTCAACGCTACCGAATTTTGTTTCGAATCTCCAACCATAATTAAAAACTTGTGCTTGTATGATTTCTCCTTACTGGCACTGTGTATGGCTGTAAGACATAGTTATTTTGCAAATGTCTATTTGAGAGTCAAACCGAACAAAGGAGTGACTGTGATGCTGTGGAATCCCTAAAATACATCTGAAGCTCTTGAGGCAGAAGAGACTGTCCTTTTTAGAGCCATTAGCATGTCCGGTTCTCTACCGCACTTCCTGGAGATTCTATGAAAGATCTTTTGCTTCAATTATTCCTCTTCTGGCCTGAAGCAACTTTAAGTGCGTCACCACCCAGATAGCAAACTGACATTGAATCAACGTGGAAACATGACGTTGATCTGGCATTGTTTTGCTCATCGAATTAACGTTAAACCAACGTCAGATGTGCCATTCTTCAAAACTAACGGAAAATCAACTTGAAATCAACATCGTTTCAACGTTAGGAAAGCAAACCAATTGCGTCGGTTTTAAGTTAGTTTTGAAGAATGGCACATCTGACGTTGGTTCAACGTTAATTCGATGTGCAAAACAATGCCAGATCAACGTTGTTTTTCGATGTCATGAGAAATGTCGTTTCCACATTGATTCAATGTCAGTTTGTTATATGGGCATTACAAGCCATATTTTAAGTGTGGAATATTCTGTACTTCTTTTAGCATTTTCTTCCATCCACTTGCCAAAACTCTTGCCAAAATTGAACCTAGGCTCTTTTTGTTTATCTACCCGAGTCAAACTTTCACGTAAAAGCATAATTAGAACGGAAACGCCACTTTTAAGATTGACCACATTTTTGTTTTAGGTGAAAATGCCTTTGTTTGTGTCTCAAATAGAGCAGGAATTAATGTTAACGATAATGTTAAAAGACAATGACCTGTAATGTTTGTTATGCTTGAGGTCACCATTAATTCAATCCACTCCATGAAGAGAACATATGTAACTGGTTTCTGTGTTATTCAGGTGGGCTGTGGAGCGTGTTCACGTTAGGTGGAGTTGGCACCAGAACGGGGGCGGAGCAAGAGCAGAACCCGCTCCCGCTGTCCAATCAGAGCCTGCTATTACTGTTGGTTCTGGCTAATCTGACCGACGGACCGGACTGTCCGAACCCCTACCGCCAGGCTGTTACCTGCTTCAAAAACACTCAAGGTAAATCAGACCAGGTTTGTTTTTTAGTCAAATTAATTTCAGTGCTAATGCTAATGAAACCCTCTTGTGTGGGTGTTTCAGATACCTCGTCCATCCCGTCTCCTCAGCCTCACACGTTTCAGATCAACTTTAACAGTCTGTACACAGCACTGTGCGAGCAGCAGAAATCAGACCAGGTGACATTACTGCTCTACACGCTACTGCACCAGAACAGCAACATGAGGACGTATATACTGTCCCGCACTGACATGGAGAATCTGGTGAGCACACGCACGTTCAGCACCTGTGCATCTGCGTTTCATTGTATTTGAATGAATGCATATATTCTGCAAGCACTGTTACAAATTCCTGACTTTTATCATTTCATTTTTTTTTTTCCATTGGTCAACCGATATTGGATAATATTTGCCATTTTATTAAATTATAGCCCAGTAAGTTGCTCTGTTTGGCTGATGTGTTGGAAGCTTGAAAGTTATTAGACAGAACTGTTCAACAAAAAAATTTAAGCAGTATACGAAACATATTATAGTAAACATATTTGATTAGAGATTGTGGAAGTTGCCATCTAAAGTATAAATCTTTCTGCCACCTTGCCCATTAAAATCATCAGTAGCAGTCGACCACTAGTTTTTTGTTTTACCTCAACAATAAAGTATCTTCTCTTTCTGTCTATGTAGGTGTTGCCGATTCTGGAGATCTTATATCATGTCGAGGAGAGAAACTCTCATCATGTGTACATGGCCCTCATCATCCTCCTCATCCTAACAGAGGATGACACCTTCAACCGCTCCATACATGAAGTGGTGAGGCCACACACACTCTTTTGGATGAAATCAGATGAAACCATTGAATCTGTCATGAAAGCTTCGTTTGAGAATCTGTACTGGTTTAAGACCCAGATATGGACTGATATGACGTCATTTCAAACTAAATCTGTCCAAAATGGGAGTTTGAAACTACTTACCAAATACTTTCCAGAAAAGTTCCAGAAAAGAAGGTTCTGCTGCCTTAAGGCCCGTACACACCGGGAGGAATATCAGCGCGTTATTCGTCTGCGTTTTTTCAACGCGTTTTTTGTGTTCACACCCAAGCGATTTTCGCTGACGATGAGCCGAGTGAACATGCAAATTCATTCCCTGACATTAGATGGTGCCCATTTGCCATGCGATACCACTCCATAACGGTTATCTTTTATCAAGATGTTTGTAGTCCCTGTCGCATTTGTCATATAGTTCTTTATGTTCTAGCACCAATGAGAACAGCAGCTCTACATTCATCTTGCCTTGCATCTTCCGCGTCTTATTTCTTCCTGGCTGCGTAGGCGGCGACGCGTATATATCTACTTCACCGTTGCAAATTTGTGCTCAGCAAGACCGTTTTGTGTTTGAGCGCCCCCAAGTTGTGTTTTACTGTCTCTTCAGAAGCTCCAAACACTTAAGCAAAAGCGCCAATTTCATTGGTCGGATAGTTTTTCACGTGGCTGCCAAACTAAAAAAACGAACCAGAGGCGTTTTTTTTTTTTAAATGACGCTTTTACGCGTGGCGTTTTACGCATCGGTGTGAACACTCGCATTGGCGCCTTTTGTTTAGTCACGAGGCGTTAAACGTAGTCCTGGTGTGAACTGGCCTTTAAGCAGATTTAAATATATCCACATCGATCAGATGCTTTCTTCACTGCAGGTTTCTTTGTGTGTTCATTTTTCTATTGGAAGGAAAGCATGCAGCACATATTTACATGTTCTCAGCCGCATGGGGCGTCGGCGGCATGTTCGCTAAAAGTATATCGCTGGTCATGTATTTCAAACTTATTTTTACCCCTAAGTGAAGAACTTCTATATATATCGAGGTATATCGAGTATATCTGGGTCTTTAGATGTAAATAAAAAATCATCGGATGGAGGTTCATGATTCCAGATCTGTCATTCCAGGCTTTTATTTGTCACATCTTTGAATGCAGCAGAAATGCAGCAGAAGTGTATGCACAAACATTGGTTTGGAGGCTGTTTTTACAAACAATTACAGGGGTGCCTTGTAACACTTTACTTAAAGGGATACTCCACTTTTTTTCGGAAATAGGCTCATTTTACCACTCCCCCAGAGTTAAACAGTTGAGTTTTACCGTTTTCGAATCCATTCAGCCGATTTTCTGATATTTAGAAGAATATCAGTAACAAGACAGTTTCTGGTCTCATTGACTTCCATAGTAGGAAAAAAATATACTATGGAAGTCAATGAGGCCAGCAACTGTCTGTTAACTAATATTCTTCTAAATATCAGAAAATTGGCTGAATACATTCGAAAACGGTAAAACTCAACTGTTTAACTCTGGGGAGTGGTAAAATGAGCCTATTTCCAAAAAAAGTGGAGTATCCCTTAAAGCCTTTATGTATAATGCATTATAAAGATATTCATATTATATTTTTAATGCCTTATACTGAAGGTTTTAAGTTAAGTGTTACTAAAATGTTTTGAAGTCAGTAGATTTCATCTTAGTTTTATCATGCAATACATCCCTGCATTACCCTTTAAATAGAGGAGCTTGTGTATCTATTATTAATTTATTTTTGTTTTCTCTGTTCTCTCTGTCTCAGGTGTTGAAGAACATCTCGTGGTATACTGAGCGTGTTCTGACAGAGATCTCTCTAGGCAGTCTGTTGATCCTGGTTGTGATTCGAACCATCCAGTTCAACATGACGCGAACCAGGGTGAGACCAGAACCAATGACTAAAACAATCATTTAAAAGCGAAGCTCCGTAAATATCCAGATCTTTGGCCGTGGGCACATGCAAGTTTATTATGTAACAGTGAGACTCACAACAACCAGCTCATGAGATTTACAGGGTTTTATATTAGATCTTTGAACACATTTAGTCCAGGGAGACCAATGAACAGAGCAGGTTTTTATATTCAAAGTATAATGGAGTCATTTCATTCTGTTTTGCCCTGCGAGAAGAAACAACACAAATTATTTATGCATGGTTTTATTGATTTCCCCTCCTTCAGGATAAATACCTCCACACGAACTGCCTGGCTGCCCTAGCCAACATGTCGGCCCAGTTTCGTAACCTACACCAGTACGCCGCACAAAGGATTATAAGGTAAGTTATCCAATAACTGACTAACTATTTGATATACTGTGTGTTCGGTTCGATACGATAGATTTGTGTCACGATACGGTTCGGTACGTTTCCAATACAACAAAAAGAAAGAAATGGCAGAAATTTTTTCTTGATTTAATTTTTTTATTATATTTTTATTAAAACTAACATCATAAAGTATGATATTTTTTAACTTTGAGCAATGATGTAGCTGTACTTGAGTTTTCTTAGGAGAATAAAACAAAACCGCTCCTTGGACAAAATGAAATGTAATATTGTAGTAGTAATAAATAAAGGTTTATTTTAGTTCAGATTAACATTTGAGGGCAGCAATTGTGTTCATAATGTCAAAATAAAACCAACGTGATGTTACTTGAAAGCATTATAGCCTACCTGCCAAACTTCCATGGTAACAGTTAGTGTTACTACAGTAAATCCATGGTGATTGTTGCTGATCTGTGGACACTGATTAATTCACTCATGGCTTAATGTTTCTCCTGGTTTCCACATCAGTGCCGTTTGATCCGTTAATAACGGAGAAATGTGAGTGTTTCTCACTAGATCTCGCAGGGATGTTATTACTTCAGTGGCGAATTCAAATGTTTTCTTTACTGGATTTGGCTGTGTAGTAACAGTGCTGCTTGATTAAGATCGACTCGCGCTGCATTGGTCCAAACTGATAAACGGTCCGTCAACCACGAGTAATAATAACGAGTAGCTCAGTTTCGTTCCGCTTGCATTACATTTGCCATTTGATTTTGGGCAATGTTGTAGTTACGCCAGCATCATGAGCGCGCTAGCCACGCGCGACGCGCCTACATTTGAATAACGAAATTTTGGTCGGCAGGAAAAATGTTCCAACGAACTGTTCGGTTCAAAAACGCGTACCGAAAACCGAACCGAAAGCCTCGTACCGAACGGTTCAATACGAATACGTGTTACACCCCTATATATATATCTCACACACACATACAAACATAAACACATACACTTATGCCAGTGCTAGTACCTTGTTACTACCTTGTTGGACCCCTTTTGCTTTAATTGACCTATGGCTAAGCCACGCCCTCAAACGCGATGAGCCAATCACAGTGCGCAGCTAACCCAATGCACTAGGACATTCTCTGCTTCCACGTCCATTGAAATGCATTGCAGTTAGTCAGTTTTCATTTGTTTTTTCTTTTCATTTCAAGTTTAAAATTTCAAACGGTGTGCATATGGGGTATGCAACTCCGACACTTGGTTCCCGAGAGACTGGGCGACGGTGTGTATTTTTTTTTTACCCTTTCCCAAGCAACATCTTAACCGAGATAAGTGTCTGCTCTGGATTAATTTATACGATCTGATCTAAGTTAAGTCAACAATGTATTTGAACGTTATCTTTAAAATCTCTAATGTAACGTTAGTCTAATATTAGAAAACGTTAACGTTAGCTTCTAGCTACGCTGTACATCATGTCACTTAGCTTCATTAACGTATCTGTAAATAACCTAGATAACAAATGTTAACAATGTTGTGCTGAATGATTCATGTAAATACTGTAGCACCAAGCGGTGATGGCAACGATATGCAGTTTATCACGTTTACACTGTGACCTGTACATTTTTGCCTGAAGCTGAAGCTTTTCATCGACCTTCTCAACAACAACATTACTAATATAACCCACCAATGCATAGTTAAGGCCCTTTAGGTGACTTCGAGATGATATATAATCTTTCTATCTCCAAAAAATCATCAATTGCCTCCTGTGAAATGTCTCATACTGTGACAGCTGCCATAGGGCCTGTCCCAGAATGTTGACTGTTTGTCCGAGTGAGTGGAGGGGGCGTGGCTTAGCCATAGGTCAATTCTTCATGGCATAGATTCAGCAAGGTGCTAGAAACATTCACAAGATTTTCTGGTCCATGTTGTCATGATAGCATCAGGCAGTTACTCACCTGCTCATCCCTGATGTGAATCTCCCATCCCCGCAAATCCCAAACCTGCTCTACTGGATTAAGATCTGGTGACTTTGGAGGCCATTTGAATTTAGTGAACTCATTGTCATGTTTGAGATGGTTTGAGCTTTGTAAAATGGTGCGTTATCCTGCTGGAAGAGCTATCAGAAGATGGGAACACTGTGGTCATAAAGAGGAATACATGGTCAGCAATACTCAGGGCATTTAAACGATGCTCAATTGATACTAAGGGGCAAGAAAACATGCCCCACACCATTACACCACCAGTGGCCTGAACCACTGATACGAGGCAGGATGATCCATGCTGTCATGTTATTTACACCAAATTCTGCCCCTACCATATGAATGTTGCAGTAAAAAGAGAGACTCATCAGTCCAGGCAATGTTTTTCCAATCTTCTTGTAAGTCTGTGCAAATTGTAGCCTCAGTTTCATGTTCTTATCTGACAGGAGTGTCACTGGTGTGTTTCCTGCTGCTGTAGCCCGTCTGCTTCAAGGTTGGATCTGTTTTGTGTTCAGAGATTGTCTTTCTTCAGACCTCGCTTGTAACACGTGTTTATATGAGTTACTGGTGCCTTTCTATCAGCTCAAACCATTCTGGTCATTCTCCTCTGACCTCTGGCATCAACAAGGCATTTTCTCCCACAGAACTGCCACTCACTGCATATTTTCTTTTTTTCATACCATTCTCTGTAAACTCTAGAGATGTTTGTGTGTGAAAATCCCTGTAGATCAGCAGTTCTGAAATATTCAGACCTGCCTATCTGGCACCAACAACCATGCCACGCTCAAAGTCACTTAAGTCAAATTTTTTTCTACTTTCTGATGGTAAATGCATTGAGTTGCTGCCATGTTATTGGCTGATTAGATATTTATGTTAATGAGCAGTTGTATAATAATTATGTATACTATGTGTACAGTATATAATAATAATAATAATGTATAATATAATAAGTGGCCGGTACATGAGTATGTGTGTATATATATATATATATATATATATATATATATATGGTAACACTTTACAATAAGGTTCATTAGTTAACTACATTAGTTAACATGTACAATATGTGAACAATACTTCTTCAGCATTTATTAATCTTAGTTAATATTAATTCCAACATTTACTAATACGTTATTAAAATCAAAGGTTGTATTAGTTAACATTAGTTAACGGACTGTGAACTAACATGAACGCACAATGAACAGCTGTATTTGTATTAACTAACATTAACAAAGATTAATAAACACTAACTAATGCATTGCTCATCATTAGTTCATGTTAGTTAATGCATTTACTAATGTTAACTAATGAACCTTATTGTAAAGTGTTACCATATATATATATATATACTGTATATATATATATTAGAGCCAGACCGATATATCGGCCGGCCGATATTAAGCATTTTCTATAATATCGGTATCGGCAGTTATAAATGGCCGATAAATGAATATTTAAAAAATAAAATAAAAACACGCTTTAATCATCTCTCCTTGGCCTGTTATATTGAAATGTATGTTTTACAATTTGCAGTATGATGTTATCTATTGCTAAATTATGGCTCATCATAGACTAGCTAACCACAAAGCAAGCTAATGCCACTATCATCAGTGGAAGACCGCTAACGTTAACATTAATGAACTTGGAAACCACAATGAACTTTTTCTGCCTAAATAAAGTAATGGTTACTGTATTTATAACTAGCATATCTCTAGTTACAGTCCCTGCATTGTAAAATGTAAGTTATACTTGCGAGGAGTGAACATTTAGACATAGAGAAAAAGTATCAAATGTATCTTGTGCAGAAAAGTTAGCTTTTCTTTTACACGTGTGTGAAATCCAACAATATTTAATAAAAAAAAAATATCGTCCGATATATCGGATTTTAAAACCCAAAAATATTTGTATCGGTATTGGCCTTCAAAATCCTTTATTGGTCAGGCTCTAATATATATATATATATATACATACACACACTACTGTTCAAAAGCTGGGGGCCTGTATACACACACACACATATGGTATATATATATATATATATATATATAATTTTTTGTAGGAAATTAATACTTTATTTAGCAAAATGCTACAAAACATTTATATTTTAAATTTATGCTCACAGTTTGCACTAAAATATGAAGCACAACTGTCTTCATCAGAAATGTTTCTTCATCAAATTATCATATAAGAATGATTTCTGAAGGATCATGTGACACTGAAGACTGGAATAATGATGCTGAAAATACAGCTTTGATCACAGGAATAAATTTTACTTTTAACTTAATAAGCATAAGAGACTTCTTTCAAAAACATTAAAGTATACCCACCCAACAAACTTTATAACAGGAGTGGGTATATATGTAGCAATACTTATTATATAAGATTAAATCTAAATGTGTTACTTTTTTATCTTTAATAATAAAAATAATATAATCTCTTGGCAATTATAAAGTATGTAGTTTATTTGTGAGTGTGTGTTAGCCACTATTGTCGTTATCAGGCGAGTCCGTTTGTGTTCATGTTGAGAAAATGGGCTTATTTTCATCTGTCCAGAAACTAGATCTTGTTTGTTCAACAACAGTTGCTCACCTTTCCTGATCTCAAACAGGCGCTTTCTAACACTTCCATTTAGCCAACGTTCAACACAAACAGATCGGGTTTCGTTGCATGTTTCTTGTGATTCACACACTGAATTAAAGTGAATGAAATGTTTGTTGACTTTGGTAGGAAAACACCCGGTCACCTCATATGCTCTGAAACCGAGACACACAGGCTGTTGACAATCAACAGTTTGATTGGTTGGAAATTCAGCCTTTTGTTTCTTGAATAATATCACACATCCTTTTATGTAACATGAAAACATCGTGCCACGTTGTGAACAACAACGTAAAAGAGCATGTCCTCTGGCAGAGTCAGTGGCTTTAGTTTGAGCAACATTGCCATTTTATAATTGTCCTCTCATTCTGAAATACTTGTTACCATGTTTATGTTTTGGTTTTTGGTGCCCAGAATTTGCCATGACTTCATCTGAAACCAGAG